GGGGGATCACAAGCAGGGAGGCAGGACTCAGGCTCATTGACAGAGTAACCACCGCCTTGGGATTGGTGAGAATTCCATGCCAAGCAGTGAGTTATGTTACACTGTGAAAGATCTGTTCCCACTGGTGGGCATTTCCTAAGGCAGGACACTGAGCAAGCAGCTAGGAAATTGTGGAGAAATGGCCAGAGAATGAATCTGCAGAGAACAAGGCCAGGTCTCTAATGACGGAATGAAAAGTAGCAGCCCTTGTTTTTTCTCCAAATCTCTCTGCCTGTCTTAAGGAAGGTCACATGGCTAAAAGGGGCTGTGTAATAGACTGACTAAAGGGTAATGATTGGGGAGAATAAATGAGACCACTCTTCCTATTCAGTGGTATGGTTAATGGCAGCTACCTGGCCACATGGCTCTCCTTCGCATGGACTCATTTGAAGCATCTCATTGCATCCCGAGGCCATGTTAACTCATGATTGTTTTATAGCATGAACAGATGGTAAACATCTTTTTGTTGTTTTGTCTTCCCTTTTCTACCGTAAGAACTCTCTGCTGACTGTTGATTTCATGACAGCAGCACAGAGTCCCTCCCGGGTCGGTATTGATGAGGGCGACACTGTCCGTGTGCTGGTACGGCAGTGTGTATCCAGGGGTCAGTTACACGGGAGGATGACTGGAATTCAGATCCCAACAGTCCTAGACAAGGCTTTGTCTTTCTGATGTGTGCGTTTGGCTAGAATCGTGAGAGGCCTCCCTCGCGAGACCTGGTCGCCCAGACTTCACACACCATGGCCGGTTTCTCACTTTGCTCTGTGCCTGCTGCCCTGTGAGAGGAGCTCAGGTTTGGGGAACCTCGGAGGTGGGCTGGCTGCCGCCTTTCTCATGATAGAGTGTACCCCAGCTCTTAGAAAGCCAGCCTTCGCCTCAGCGCACCGTGCAGGATTTGCGGGCCTGGTGTCTTGTCAGCCAAGGTCAGGAGGACTTAAGAGGGCGTGGTCAGCCTCCCCTGAATGGTGGCTCAGCTCTGACACTGGCCAGGTCGGACTTGGTGTTTTTGTAGAAAACCCTGGAAAGGCGGAACACAAAAGGCAAAGGTGTGGCCCCGCAGGTTCCAAGGTTGTGACTTATCGGGCATCCGCTGTCTATAGCCCTGTCTGTGGTTTCATTTCTCCAGAATGTGCCACGGTCTGAATATACAAAATATAGGCTAAAAATATATTTTCTTTCAGGTATGGGGAATTCTGTGTTTTTCATATTTGCCATTCAGTATGTGCCGCGTGTTCTCACTAGCTGGGAACACATTAATAAACCAACTGCAAAGCCCTTGCCATCGGAGGATGCATCTAGTCCTCAGGGGAGAGAACAGTCGGTGTTAAGGACAATAAAGCTGTAAAGTTGATATTTAGGGTTTTGAGTTTCAGTGACCAGAGCCATCAGAGGAAAGACCTGAAAAACAGAGGAAGTAAAGCTCCCTGTGGGTTTCTGGGAAAGTAGATTTTAGAGGAGTGTGAATAACAAGTGCCACTGGTCTCCCCAAGTTAGGTGTCTGCTAGGTTCACAGCATACTGTGAGCCCGGGGGAAGGAGTAAACTCCACAGGCTGGAGAAGCAGGCACCTGCTGTGGAGTACCGTTTCCTAGGCCCTTTGGGGCTTGGGGGATGTGAAGTGTTTTTGAGCATGAGCAGCCATCGGAATAGAGCAGAGGTGGCACTCCAGCTTGTTGTGGCTAGCAGACCCCTGTCCCTTCAGAACAGGGCACGTTGAGAGCAGCGAGGGATTCAGGGATGGTCAGGTGGCTGGAGCGATAACCCAGGCTCCGGATGACCGCGCTGGGATCAGACCAGAAGTGGTGCAGGCAGGAAGAACAGTGCGATTCTCTTGGCTCCTGACTTCAGCTCAGCTTAGCTCTGGCCATTGCAGCCATTTGTGGAGTGAACAAGTGGATGGAAGTGTGTGTGTGTGTGTGTGTAAATCTGCCTTTCAGATCAAAATAAAATCTTGTTTTAAAAAAGGATTTATGCATCTGAGTGAGTCTGTAATGCTGGAAGGACACAGCTGAAGGTACTAGAGCTCATCTGACCAAGTGTGCCATCCTAAATTGTTTTGAAGAAGCGTATCAATTGAAAGCTAGACCCGGAAAATGATGAAATCCAAAGTACTCTTGCTGGGTTTGTGGCGTGGCTTGTTTCTCTGTATGCCTCTGGAACTTGGAAGTGGAGCACAACCAGTTGGAAGTTCCTAAACATAGAGGGGGTTTTCCCCCTTTATTTCCCTGAACAACAGAGCAACCCTTATTATCTCCCGCCCTCCAGCCCCTTTGCTCTTTGTCTTTTCTGTGGATCTGATGATTCATGCAGTGCCAACCGCTGTGCCCTGCCTTTTGTTTGTTGATTGGCATGCTGATGTCACTTAATTGAAGCAGCCACTTTGCAGCTTGGAGCCACAGGAGGAGTGGGTGAGATGGTTTTCTATCACGCACTTTTCAGGTAAATTTTTCCAGTGGTGTTAATTTCTTCAAAGGCAGTAGAAAACTGACCCTGTCACAATTTTTCTTTTTGTCCTCATTCAAGTCACAGACTTGTCCTTCATACTCCTTTCCTTGTTAAAAAAAAATGCTGTAGCTGCACGAAATAGAATGCCTTATGGTGGCTTTCTGGGGCTATTTTTAAACTGCCTATCTGTCATTTTACTAAACCATGTTCTTATTGGGATTGTTGTGGGGGGTTTTTGGTGTGTGTGTGATTATTTTAGTTACAAAGAGATAAGCAGAGAGAGACCTTCAGTATCCTGCTTCTCTTCGCAGATGGCCACATGACCAGGAAGCCAGGAGCTTCCTCTGGGTCTCTCACATAGATGGCAGGAGTCCGTGTACTTGGGAGGTCTTCCTCTGCCTTCCCAGGTACATCAGCAGGGAGCAAGATGAGCAGTGGAGCAGCCTACACTCAAAGCAGCACCCATCTGGGATGCCGGCGCTGGAGGTTGTAGCTTAGCGTGCCGTGCCACAATACCAGCTGAGGAGCAGTTTTGATGTGCATGTTAGTCTTGCAGATTAAGTTGGAATGAATAGGATTTAAGATCAGTATGTGCTGTGGAGATAATCCAGTTCGGTCTGCAGGTTTCACAGTGCATATATGCATAAAGTGGCTTTTTAAAAATCTCTCCTGTGACTTTCTCATATGGTATTTCAAATATTATGCCTTGTTTAACTTTGTTGATTTATTAAAATTGGAGTGTGTCTCCCATTAGTAATGCTTTTAAGCTACAGATAACAATATCTGGTGAACAAGGGTCTAACCTATCATGATTCTTATGACTGTTATTTAGCAAGACTCCCCAGAAGTAGCTGGGAATCCTGGGTCTTCCTGTAGCTTGCAGTGTGATCAACAACCCAGACATTTGGGGCCTTATTTTCTTTCACTTTTTTTCAGGCCCAGCATGTTATTTCCCGTCTTCCTGCTCACTGCCTTATATCATGGCACAACAGCTTTAAAATCATGTCCATGTCATGGAGGAAATAAGAGTGAGAAGCTGGCATGGTGACCTCTGTTCTAGAACCTTCTTACCATAAAGCAAACTCCCCTTCCCATAAACTCCTTGGTAGACTGCTTCTACCACAGGTCCACTCCTGTGGTCAGGAGGGTCTTGGGTCCTCTGTCATTTGTTGTTGTTGTTGTGGGAGGGACATCAAATAGTGGTTTTTGATTGGCCCACTAATAGTGCTTGTCAGAGATGGTCCTAAAATAGGCATCCATTTGTGCATGTTCACAGCCAGAGAGGAAGTGTAGCTTTAGAGCGTGGGTCCTGGGGTCAGATTGAGCACGTTCCAATCCCAGGGCTCCTTTCTGTCAGATTGGGATAAAGGATAAAATGTCACCAGTTGTGCATGGCTGTCATGTGAAAGACCAGCAGTCAGGGTTTCGGCACTCAGTTCATGTCAGCAACAGCAGCCGAAGGCCAGCACCTGTACGTGGATACTGAGCAAGCCTGGAGCAGATTCACTGGCCAGCTGCAGCTTGGCTCAACTGTTGCAAGACAGCTCAAAAAGACTGCACCATACAACTCCTGATTTAAAACTATGCTACAGAAAACCCCCTGATGGCTTGAAAATGCTCTAAAAGATAAATAATCGTGATAGAATGTGGCTGTCTGCTGTGACAACTTATAAAATATGACTTCCTTTGACTAGAAGTGGAGCGCTCTGGTCTTTCTGTAGGCTCTTCATGTGTTGAGACAGCTTAGTGAAAGAGCTATTTTGACTAACATGTATCGAATCAAGAATCTGAGATCCTTTTATAAGTTTCAGTATGTGTACACAATAGTTCTCTATTGTGACTCAGAAACAAAAACAAAACTCGCTTGGGTCTGGGAAAAAGCAATGTCTGGTGTTCTCAACATTTTTTGGAATAAAGACATCCTGAGGCAGAGCGCTGTTTAAACAAAGCCCCTTGAAAGGAGCCCCTTAAACAGAGCAGGTACTCAGTAACTACTGGATGATAAAAGGAATGGCACTGAGTGACAAAAGCATTAGGAATCATCTGAAGGTGCTACAAACGTTGTGTTGTTCACATAGTCTAAGGAGTGACCAACTCCAGTAGAAAAGCAGTGCGGAGAAGCCAGAGTGCGTTCTAGAAGATGTTGTCATGCAGGGCACTGGAGAGCAGACCCCGTGGTGTGAGGGCGTGCAGTCACAAGGAGTGTGGAGACGTGAGTGGGCGGCCATGCCAGTGAGGCCTAGGTGTGCACGCAGTTCCACTGCTGGAATTCCATCAGAGTCCAGACAAATGCAAGCTGGGAGGCTCATTTGGTGTGTTTTTAATCTGAGTATGTCCAACAGCCAGTCTCTCGTGGCTGCTGCCTCCCAGGTGCCCCTGCCCATCCAGGCGGTGCGTGAGGCTGGTGGATGAGCGGGCATGTTGCAGCGTCGAGGTGATGTGTGAGTTGTGTAGCGTCATCCTGCGCCCCTGTGAACAGTGTGCTGACTGCCGTGCTTCTCTGACTCTGCCCCGCAGAAAACCCGGTATGAGATCTACGTCAGCATCCTCAAAGAGGGAGGCAAGGAGCTGCTGTGCAAGAACGAAAGTGAGGCTGCGGCGCTGAAGAAGTCCCACTCGAGTCCTTCGCTGAACCCAGAGTCCTCCCCGATCACGGCCAAAGTCAAGCGCAACGTGTCCGAGAGGAAGGATCACCGGCCGGAGACAACCACCATCAAGCAGAAAGTCACTTAGAATTCGTCTGCGGCCAGGAAGTGCTGGTCATGGAGCAACATAGGGTTTTTCAAGATCTTTCGGGTAATCCATGAATATATTAAAAAAAAAAGTCTGTGACTAAATGGTGCATTAGTAACTTTTTCTATTGTATATTTTTGTTAGTTTCTGTACAGGTTGTCTTTGCTCTTGATTTCTTTGCTTTGACGATTTTTTTCAACTTGATAACTAATGCACCTTTTTTGTGAGGGGGAGGGGATCTTGATTTCACAGTTAATTCTGTATTCCTTCTCCTCCGATTTTCTCTCATTTGCACTCTGCTCGGTTGTCTTATGTATGCTCAAACGAGCTGTTCTACTTTTTTTTTTTCTCAAAGGCAAAGAAAAAAAAATGTCATCCATTGTGAAACACTTAACTGGACAAACCTGGTAGTTTAGTACATTCTAGCCAGAGTTGATATAAGCCTTTCTATGTGAACCCTTGCCCGGTCACAGAGGTGGAACTGAGCACTGTGGGTGCTCACATACGGCTTGTGGATGTTGGAGAACCCAGGCCCGTGCAGCTCTATATGCACCCTCGTGCAGTTGCGGCATTCCTGCCCTGCCAGGAGCAAGGAGGGAGGCTTGAGTCACGGGGCTGGAGAACTTAGGAACCCATGCCGGCTTGCTTCGAGCGTGGCTTCCATTTGAGCTGAGCTGGGGACGGAAGGAGCGGCGTCACCTTGCCAGCGAAGGCAGAGGGCTGGTACCCAGGGGGGGTTGTTCTTTGTGGCACGGTGCCAGTAGTGGGTCCTTAGGGAACTGCAGCGGGTGGCAGGTGTTTGGGTCTGCATCCATTTGTTACCTCACTTCCACGGGGGTAGACTGAGAGTCCACACTCAGCTCAGTTGATGGTACCCTCCCATGCAGGATCGGTTCTTTTTTACTCTACATGTATGTATATATTAGGCACGGGTTGTCTCCTGGCTGTAAGAATATTCGGGTTTTCCTTCCTAACTCGTGCAGAAAAGTGGAGCCAACCCATTTCTCTTAAGTTATGTGACAAAATAAGGAGGGGAAAAGGAGCGAAGGTTGTTTAAGCAAGGGATCTTCATTCTTTGAGACAAATCTGAAAGCATTGCTCTGCATTGGGGCTGGAGAACGGAAACCTGGCAGCTTACATGAAGCTATGTGGTTCCATGTTGATTTCCTTCTCTTGTGTAGCCATGTCACTTTGCTATTACTGAACTTTCTCATCAAACAGATACTTCAGATAGATCTGTTAGTGTTACAGTTGCAAGTTTGTGCCAAGTGACAGTCCCTTCAAAGCTCAAGTTATCCACAGAGCATTCCTCTTACAAGTGGAAGAGAAGGGAAAGTTCAACCCACTGTGACTTCAAACTTTGATTCCCAAATCTTGAAATTCTGTAAGCCCCAAAGTTAGAAGCAGTGAAGCCACAGCGAATATTCTTTTTCCTCCCATAGAAATGTTCTCTTGTTTCACTCAGTGTATTAGTGGACGGTACTATGACCAAAGATTGAGCTGCTCTGAATAGAGAGAGTGGTTACAGCGAGCTCAGGAAAGCCTGCTGTGACCCTGGGGTTGTTTCTAGTGGTAGATGATGATGATGATGATGATGATGATGATGATGATGATGATGATAAGCTGGCTTCATGTGTAGGAGGATTGATTGCTTGCTTCCTTCGCCCATGTCCACGTCCATGTTTTCAAGTGCCCAGAGAAGACCTCCCTCCCCTTAAGCTGTAGTTGCTAGCTTGCATCCTGTCATGCTTTCAGGTAACTGCACCCCCCCTCTCTTAAATTGAGGCAATGAATAAATTTATGTTTCAGAACAGGAAACAGGGCAGTTACTCTGTGTTCCTGACACATTTATCTAGTCTCTTCATGAATCCAGGGTTTTCACATGCCAAGTTGTCTTTCTGCCCAAAATCTGAATTATCAGTGTGTTTGTTTTCTGCATAAATAAGCAGGTGAGCAGAGAGGGGTACCTAGACCATGTCCTGTAGGAACTTGAGTGACTACAGAAAAAATGAACAACGCTGACTGGCTTGAATGTGTTTGCCCATGGCGTGTGTGTGTATAGAATGTGTATGTTTTAGTGTCTCTAGTCCACGTGGAACGGTACCTTGCTACAGTGATCGCTGCCATGTGGGGTCATGTTGAAGCACTGGGTTAGCATCAGCACTGCAGGAGTGTACTCCTGCTCCAGAACTCACCAGTGCCCGCTCCAGGCTCTTCCAGATAGGCCAGTGCTCCTCGGAGTTGGCTGAGGAGGGCACTGTTGGAGCTGCAGAATGCCACCTCATGCACTTTAGCTTGGAAAGCAACCTCACGAGGATTCCTTGGTGAGTCGGCACCCCAGGGTGCCCTGGCATGATGTTGTCTGTCTGGGGGGACTGAGCTGAGAGCACTTCTTCCTTGACACCCTGGGAGGGTGATCATCCAAAGAAAGCACTCCCCAAGTGGACTACATACTGAGTCCAGGCCATGCCCAGCCATGCTTCCTTTTGTGGTCATTTCTGCCATCTCATCAGAAGAGGTGGCGGCTGTCTCCCGGCACAGGCTCCCCACAGTCTGGCCCAGTTCACGGTACAGGGGAGTGTGCTGCCTCCCCCTCCTTCACAGGTACTTCACTCCTTCCCCTGTCTCCTGCCTGAGCCTCACCCCTACCTCAGTGCCCAGCACTTTGGAATTCCTCCCTGCATGGCAAGCCATTATTTCTCATCACACAGATAAATACACTTAACATGAACTTGTAGTTTCAAAAAAAAATCTTGGTAGTCATCAGAATACTCTGGTGATTGTCTCATTGCCAAGTCAGCCATAGAAGGAACCCAGGTTGAAAGTCTGTGCTGTGGGGTGTGCCCCCACCTCACCTGCAAGAAATCTCCACTCAGGACAGTCTTGTCTTTGGTTGTCAGAGTCTAGGCATTTCTCAAATGCACTTTAAACACACACACACACACACACACACACACACACACACACACACCCTTCACCGATCTCTGTTTAAATGGAGCAATACTTCTATGTAGGGGAGCCCCTCTCTGATTGCTCTCAGGTAGAGAGAATGGACAGCATTTTCTTGAGTCATGGCCTTGTTTGTCTCATTTTCAGGACCCTCTGTCCTTCTCCAGCTGGAACCCTAACCCAGAAGGCAAGGGGCATGTCCGAGGCAGGAAGGGTGGCGGGCACGGAGTCAGCTCTGAAAGAGGAAAAGCTGGCTAGAGTTTCAGGGCCAGATGAGGGTTATGTTTTTACTCTGTGGCCAAAGCCTCAGAACTCCCGAGATGGAGAAAAGAGTTACAGGAGCAGCAGGAAGCAAGGGCCTCTGTCGCTTGTGTGAAGGTTGAACAGGGTTCTGCTGTGCTTGCCTTCAAAGTGCCAGGAAGATGTCCTTGAGGAAGGCAGGGCCTGCGCCATGCTATCTCTACTTGTCATTCACTTGTGGTATCAAATTGACCTTAAAGAAGTTCCTGCATGGTCACTCTACCCACACCCTCTCTGAAGCTTAACCACCTTTCCTTGAAATTTGAATTCCTGTGGCACTTGCCCTGTTGTCAGAAGCCAGAGGCAGGTCCCTAGCTGGGAATGTCTGAATCCCTGTCACTCAGCTCCCATGGACTCCACTAAGTTACTGGCAGGTCCCAGCACCTTCCTGAGTTTCAGCAGTGGGCCCTCCCTCCTCTTTTGAGGAATAGCATTTTTCCAGTTGTAAGAATGGCGCTGTAATACAGAAGCCCACGTGGCATCCCAGGCCTTGTCAGAGCAGAATCTGGAAGACTTTGGGTTCCAGGAGTATCCACTCTTGCTCCATAGCACCTGTGTTGTTGACTCCAGCAGGAAAACAGAAGCAGGGCCACCTCCCTCCAAAGCTTCCTGGCCAGGCCGCTGAGCTGCTTCTCCACTGGTCTTGGGACACCTTAGACCTTAAGTCACCTGAAAGGCATCCGAGGTCGCCAAGGGATGATGCATGGTGGATACTAATGATGATAGGGGTGCCTTGCCACAGCTGCTGCTGCTCGGGTTCCTTTTCCATCTCTCATCCTTAAGAAGCAGACTGAAGTCCAGAGCTGTTCTCATTTTGTACCTACAGTGTCCAAAGTCCCGCAGGCACCCCTCTGTTCAGGATAACAATCGACTGGCCCCTTGCATACAGAGAGAATGTCAGTAAATACCTGCTGGACTCTGTGTGAGGGTTAGTTGGCTTAAATGCAGCAGCAAGCAAATATTGCAAGCCAAGCAATTGTGTATACAGTAGGCGCCCTCCCATCTCTCTGGCTCCCACTCTGTCTTGCATTGCAGGCTGTTGGGAAATGTTCTTACAGGTTGTTGGTGAGACATCAAAGCCAGGGTTGTGTCTTTGTGTGTGCATAGCAGTTTGTGTGTGCCTGTGTCTGTGTAAGCCGCGCATCTGTGTGTGGTACGTGTACAGTGAAATCATTGTTGCCCTTAATAACCAGTGTGATAATGAAAAGCAAGCAAAAGCTTTGTGGGGTTGATTATATAAAAGTTAGAGTCTATATAGTGGTATTGTTTTATTAAGCTTAAAATTCAAATGGTATTTTGATTAAATTTTTAGTAAGATTTTCATGCCAGAAAATTGCATCTTTGACCTTAGAATCATCAGGGCAAAGAATGACCTTGGACTAACCTTGCACATTTTTTGAAGTATGTACTGTGTGCAATACCAAGGAGGGGGTAACTCATTGTAATTTGGGAGATAAAAAAGTAAAAAGGAGGAAGAAAAACACAAACCCAGCCTGTTCTGTCTTAGCGACTTTAGTATTAAGAACTAACAGTCTTGGGGCTTCTTACAAAATGTGATGCTGGAAAGCACACGTTCTTTATTGTTGTAATTAGCCCGGAACAATTCAGCCGAAGAGCAAAACAAGGACCCAGCATGTCCTCTACGTGTGTATGTGTTTCACAGTATAGCAAACCACTCTCCTGGTGCCACGTCCTCACCCTGATGACTTTAAAGAGAAGCCACAAACACCATGGAAGCTCCCGGCCTCCGGGCACGGGTGGTGCGTCCAGGTTCACAGCACTGCACACACTGTCAGCCGCAGTGTCATAGCGTCACAGCGGAGGGACCGGAGAACCAGGTTAGGACTCCATGTAATATTTTTA